TGGGGTTAGGTTTAGTGTTAGGGTTAGTGTTAGGTTTTTTGCATCATTCTTTGATATACGGAAAGTCTGATGCATGGGCGCAACCACTGGGGGGGGGGGTCGGGAGGGTCACGACCCCCCCCCAACTTTTATGTGGACCTCCCCAACTTCTGGAATTATTCAGCGTTTATTATCGTGAAACATCCATATTTCACAGATGAAAGTTAAAATAAATAAAACCCCCAGGTGGTCAAGTGCAGTGTGATAACTGTGATTCAGATTCAGATATCTAAATAGAACCCTTGTTAATATCATTTAGATTTGACCTACATCCCAGCAAACACGGAACATTCTCGTAACATTTGCTGGAGGTTCTAGTTTGGTTACATTCGCCAAAAATATTCTAAGAACATTCCCATATTGTTATACATTCATTGGTTTTACTTGGTGAGAGAGTTATGTTCTTGGAATGTTTCTCGTAACATTCGCTGGAGGTTCTAGTTTGGTTACATTAGCCAAAAATATTCTAAGAACATTCCCATATCGTTATGCATTCATTGGTTCTACTTGGTGAGAGAGTTATGTTCTTGGAATGTTCGAAAAACGTTAACCGTGCTCGGATGGGTTCGAAACTCCTAATTGCCGTTTTTGTGATGTTGCAAACTATAGCACAGGTATCAAATGTATTTTTGTTTATGATTCGATCATCAGGTCATATGATCATTTTTGGGAGATTACTGTTGGGAGATTAATGTCTCGAGGCTACGGGTACGGCAGTCCAATTGCGTCGCTTTCCCACAAAATAATGCCGTTGGAAATTAATTCACGATTTAATTCACGATTAAGATTTCTTGATGAGCTAGAAAACACTCGGATTTGAAGTATGAAAATGAACATTATTGTGCCAGCTATAGCTAGCCTACACCAGTTGGTTGGGATTGATTGTCAGTTCAAATGCAAAATATTGAAAGCAAAAGGTTATACACCATCGATTAATTTGGGTACTAAGATACGCATATATAAGATAGCCGAGTCGGTTTAGAGTTATTGTTAGTGTTAGGTTTAGGGTTAGGGTTAGGGTTAGGGTTGCGGATAGGAATAGGAATAGGGGGACTGTTTGTATTTGTGTGTGGGACTGCCGTACCCGTAGCCTCGAGACATTAAGATACGGCTGCAGCGCATGCATAGTGTGGCTGCCGTTAATATGACATTTTTGGAGGTTGATCAATGTTATCTGAAAGTAGTGTGAATGTTACTACCTAACATTTGGTAAAAACGTTCTCAGAATGTCTGGAAAACTTTCTTAAAAAACGTTATTAGAATAACGTTAACGTTACTGAATAATGTTCTGCTAACCTAAAAGAAACATTTCCATAACATTCAAGGAACATAACTTTGTTAGCTGGGATAGTACATTCAATCTCACGTACGTGCATGGAACGAGCACGACATTCACCACGCGTTCGCAAGCCAACTGTGTCTATATAGCTACGCTGCGTTGTGTTATAGCACTAAAAAAAGAGGCTCATCTCCACACAAGCGGCGCGACACCGTTCACCCCTACCGGCAAAGCTCAAATCTATTATATCTTATGGCGCAGTCTCCACTGACACGACACGGCGCCACCCCGGTTTGACGGCGACGACGAAAGTCAAATGAGTTTGACTTTTGCCGGCTGACGTGACGGCGAAAAGACAATTG